ATACCAACATTATTATCACCAACAGTATCTGAGTCAAACTCAGATGAACTTGAACTCTACCTGCTGATTTGCTTTCACTCTTACAAGATCCTAATTACAGCACCTCAAGTTCACCTACTTTAGCTTCTATATCTGTGAATAACAACCTCTATAACAGCCCTTCTCATCAATATTCTAATCATATTAGAGACCTAAACCTTAATATTGCAACTCATAATGTTTGAGGCTTTAATTCAGTAACCAAAAGAGAAGTATAGCAAAACTATTGCCTACACAATAATATCACTATCGCAAGTCTAACTGAAACAAAAATCTCTAATAAACCTAATTCATTCTTCTACAATAATAACCTCTTTACTTACTACTAGGCTAATTCTGAGATCTCAGCTGAAGAGACTGCTATTATGATCTGCAATCATCTTAAACTACATGTATATAGCTGCTTAACACACCTCAATATAGGGCTGTAAATTGATTCTACAATAATTGTTTTAATCATTAATCAAATTAGAATCGATTCTGATTCCTGGACAAATGATTTAATCATTTCTATAAACGATTATCGATTTTAAAATCGATTCTTGATTTAGAATCGATTCTAAGATATATAATCATTTATTATTTAAATATTTAACTATGTAAATATTCTTTTTGCTTTTAAATAACTAAGAAAATATAAATAGCTATACTTTTATATAGGGATTGGAACCACCTAAAATTTTTCTTAATCATTTAATCGTTTAATCGTTTAACTGTTTAACTTGGCCGGCATTAAGATAATTCTGGCCCGTAACCAACATAATTCTGCCCAGAATTATAGAGCAAATTTTAAACAGTTAAACGAATATAACTTCATAATTGTACAATTGGATAACAATTAGATGATTGTAATTAATATATCATTATGGCTACTACAACTAGAGCAAAACACCGTCAACTTGAAGAACAACAAAATAATTTATCAACTGATGATAAGAAATATAGTGAAGACCAATCTTTAGGTTATGTCTCTGATAATAATATATTTACTGATATCTATAATAAAGAAAATAGTAGTGATAATGAAGAAGATAATTTACAAAAAATTAGTCAAATTAGTGATCATGGGAATAATCAAGAATTTAATCAAAATATATCTCCTGAGCTTTTAATACTAGCAAAAAGAAAAAACCAATTAGAATTTCAACTAAACCAAAATTATTATTTGTTTGGAAATTTTTTTTCTAACCTTGTGATAGAAAAGTCTATTGTCAAATAGCTAAGTGTAAAGCAGTCTTGGTTATTGTAATATACCATCAACAATGAAAAATAAATATAAATTATTATTTATATTTAATATCAAAAAATTAAAAATTACTATATATTTAAGATTCAATTATTGATTATTAATCGATTCTAGGATGTTCGATTATCGATTCTAGTTTTTAGAATCAATTTATAGCCCTACCC